TTCCAACCTTTTCTCTCTTTTTATGCAGTGCCTTGAAAACGCTGTCTAGCTTCTGCAAAGCTTAAAGGGCAGCTTTCATAACAGGCCATATTAGCTACAAAAAGATAATTGAAAAGATCTGTATTATAGGAAGAGATCCTTCTGAATACTTTCCAGTGTTATATCTTTATTATCCGTTCTAACACACTTCCCAGTGCAGCTCCACTAAGTCCATCTACCTGAATGACATAGGGCTACAAGACTCAGCTTGCTGAAATTTCGCTCTGGTCTCCCAAATGTAGCTGCTAGATATTTTCTCCAAAGCTTTCTATGGTTCAAACTCTGATAAAACTATGGACACACAATAACAGTGGACAAACTCTGAAAGACGGGAAGGATAGTAAGCATGTACTGCAGAAGCGACTTGAATGATGGGACCAGAAGAGCAGTGAAGTCTACATGAATAGAACCCTTCCATCTGCAGCACTTACCTGGCCAATGACCAACAGTTCTTGAAGCAGCAATAGCTCTATGAAGCAGCAACAAATATTGACCACCATTTGCAATTACATTAGAAAAAAGAAAATCAGTATTTCTGTCAGTCGTTTATCAAAAATCACTGGAACATCCTAATTAGGTAAACCTCTCTGGTTCCTCATTTCATCGCAACTCCCACAATGCCAAAGCGTAGTTCAAGTCTTTTGCAAATGAAGTTATTTTGGCTTGCTCAGATTAGACAGTTATGCAGATCAGTAAAACATACCATTCTGGTTATGTAGTGCTTTTTTCCCCTCAGAAACTTCCATCACTTCTCAGCATCACTTCAAAATGTAATGATTGCACAAGTTGAACAGCAGGCAGATATTTCTGATTCATTTAATTATGTATCTGTGTATTTCTTTAACATATTTCTGTGAAGGAAGCTAAAGCCAAGCCTACATCAGTTACAGCTTTACAACAAGACAACTCAAAGAAAGAATTAAGTATCTTGTAGGATTTTATGTATGTTTATTCTCCTTTTTCTATTTGTGCTGGAACAATTTAGTGGGACTCATTACATTTTGCAGATGTATCAAGTCAGGTATCAATTTAGTGGGAATGAACAGCATACACAGCATATGCTAAGAGACAACCTCTTTTGCGAGTGCACTGTGATCTTTTATTATAAGCAGTACTTTAGAGTAACGAGATGTTTTCAGGACGTTAAATCAGTTGATTGCCACTGAAGTATCAAACACTGCAACTTTCACATCTGAAAATCAGATATGCAGATAAAGATAATACAGTGAAACTTAGTTTACACACATCATTGGAGTAACTGATACACTAGCACTGCAAGGAATAAGCACATTTTCATACATATGGAAACTGCCATTCTCCTAAAATCACTAAATTGCTGCAATTTAGCTTCAAAAATTCCACTTTCTGCCATAAAAGATGTAACAGCATGCCTAAGAAGAACTTCCAATAGTTTGACACAGTAACATTTTATTATAATCCAATACTGTTTCCAGGTAGTAGTCACTAAAATCTGTAGAACTAACTTAATTTCCAATAAACAAGTTATCAGTCGAGGAAAGTCAAAAATTCCAGTGATACTGAACAAGAATTTGCCACTGAAGTATCAAACACTGCAACTTTCCCATCTGAAAATCAGATCCACAGACAAACATCTGCACTTTACTGACAATGTACTTTTTTTTTTTTTTCTACACCAAGGTCACGAGTTCAATGCAATTAAAAAACCTATCAAGGAACCTCAACATAAAATTTCCACAATAGCTTTCAAACACATTGAAAATCATTCTTGGCACAAAACCTATATACTCCATCAGCAAGTTACCTCACCATAAAACCGCCATTATGCTAATGTTTTGATCATCTGAAAACCACCCTGATGTGAGAAATAGTGACATTTCAGTGAGACAGGACGAAGTAAGGCAAACTGCAGGCCTCTGATCTAGCAGAAAGTGCATTCTGATTAGTACTTCTACTGAGATCCTAGGAGATAAAAGGATTTTTAAGTCTGACAGTTAGGGTGGAGAGATATTCAGAAGAGAACAAAAAGAGGAGTACTGAAAGCAGGTGATGTCATGCCTTTACCATTTTACTGACACGCTCCACAGTGTTGCACAGCAGTCTCCACATAACTATTTTTGAGAGCTCAAGATCCTCTGTGGAGACAGTGTGGCTAGATATTCAATATTTTAAATGCACAAAAAGTTGAAACAGGACTAAATATAACGTGTACATTGTCTTTTGTGCTCCTGAACATGTTATAATGATACTCCAAAATACTACTTTTCAGAACTATGTCCTGCCTGACATAACAGAAGAAAAGCCTACTCTACAAAGCTTACAAGCTCTGGCACTCCCATCTTCCAGAAAAAAAACACACAGTGAAAATGGAAACAACACTGTTCTTCCCCTGAATCCTCCCACTGGCACAGCTTGCAATTTCAAACCATAAACATCTTCCAAACTTTTAAGTGCTTTGAAAGTGACTACCCTTTAACTCAGATTGCCAGAAACACACAACATTGAGGATAGACATTAAAATTCTCCTTTACACTCTGTAAGTAGTTACGAGGCAAAACATAGGACTCTGGGGGTATCTTGCATTCAGGCAAAAGCACATAAAGGCAGTTTACCAGGAAACATACATGCCACTTGTTCACAATGGATTTATATGCTTTAGAAGATATAAAAAAACTTTTTCAGTGACACAGCTTTCTCTTTTTTCAAAAAGCTCACTGTCATCACAGAACAAAAAAAATGTGCTTTGAACTGTTTTTCATTAGGGAAGTAACGAGCTAGAAAAAGATTTCTTGACAAAGCTTCTCTATTTTTTAACTCTCCCTCTCTTCCACCTCAAGTCTCATGATGTGGCCACTTTTGCAGGACTCTGTGACAACATCCTCTCAGCTGCCAAGAGATATCTTTATAAACGTGTCCTCCATTTGAACTCTAGCCTAAGCACAAAACGTAAAGAATAATAAAAGGGATCTTGTGGGTACCAACCACATCTTGTATTTCCTGAAGCTAGCAAACTTATTTTCATTTGAAAGGGAAGCTTACGTTATAATTGGGATTTTTACGTTTTCACATGAATTACAGACCTCTTTATACTGTGTTTCATTACCTGCATGCTAATGCGCTTTGAGAATAGTTTCATGTAACATGCTAGAATGAAGTCTCCTGGAAAACTGACACTAACATCACCAAAAGATTAATCATTTTATAATAGCAGAACCAAGCAACATTATAAGGAAACACATAAAAAAAAATTCCAACTATACACACTGGTATCCTATTTTCTCCTTATCAGCTACTAAAATTTGTATCAATTACAAATGATCATAATTGATGCACACGTAACTAATCTTACTAACTGATGGAGAATTATATCCTAGAGCAGTTGTAAATAACTGCAATTATTTTTGAACTGCAAACCTCTACTTTACAAAGTGCTCTTAAAGATACAAAAAGCCCTGTATTTTAAACTGAGGTACTAACCAGCCATAGGTGGAGAGGGAAGAAGATACTTATGTTAGAGTTCACAACTCTATTTTCTTCCTTTTACTACAGAAGATTTTTGGTATTTCTAAGTTTTTGCCACTCTCTAATCTTCCTGTTTTCAAGAAGAAAGAAAAAGCTGTTAAGATACATTACGAATGAACATCTAATTCTACTATCAGGATTTTACTTTCAGAAATTAAACCATCAAACTTTCCTCTTGTCTGCCCTGATGCCCCAACTCAACCAGTGAGAACTGGAGTCTCTGTGGCTCTTTTCATGTAATAAGCTTCAAGAATGCTAAAACAAGATACTAACAGTGCATCTGTAAAATAGTAATAATTAAAAAAAAAAAGTCTTAAAGAGACTTGACTTCCCTGTTTTCTTCTCTCCAGGGCCTGCTGAAGAATCCCAGAATGATTTCTAAATTTCATATGACAGGACAAATGAAATTTGGTCCAGAACTAACTGAAGCTTCCCTAACCTGCACTTTTTATAAAAGATTCTTCCTTCTGCTTTTATTTTTTCATTGTAAGATATCACTTGTAATAGCAACATGGACTCTTTTAAATACAGCTTGAAGCTGAGGTTCAGTTATTGCCCAGAAATATCAGAAGATCACAGAGATCTTAAGTACCATGCACTCATGCACTTACAACTATGAGTTTACTTAAAGCATCCATACCATAAACTTCTTCATTAAAGTAACAACAATTGTTATTTACATATAACCACATGGCATTGTTTGTAAACATGCTTTCTCATCCACTTTGATAATACTGGTTACTTTCTCCATGAGGAAATCTATGTCTCAAAATGTGTATGTAATCATCCATGAAAGTACTAATCTATTTTAGAGATCAGTGAGATTTACTGCCCTCTCAAAGTCGATATTGAGATGTATCAATCTGAAGCAAGCAAGCGTTCAACCTGATACTAGCAGCAACACAAATTAGTTGAAGAAAACCCTAACAATGCCTGCAATGAAGTTAATATCTGGGACAGAGAGAACAAGGAAGATTTTTTTTTTAAAAGCAACAAAACCATATTCTGTTTAGCCTTGCTGTCTTGATCATGACCACAGCAATCCAGTTTACAGTTACGTTCATTCTGAGAAAACAAGCTATTTTCCTGCACTTACAAAATGCATATAGCAATTTTAATTAAATTATTGCTTGAAAGACAAAAAACCTAGAGAAGGAAATACTGTGAACAGATGTAATTCCTTATAACACCAGCATCCGTAATTTAAATCATCACTGGAAGTAGTTTTAGCTGCTCAGCAGCTCAGACTAACATGCCTGACAGAACTTAATGGCAGAGGTCTGGAAAGAAAATAGCCAAAACAAAAGGCAAGTTATCAAAAAGGCCCTTGGGTGTGAGTTGAAAGATAGCAGACACATGTATTTTTACAGCACATAAACGGTTCACAGTCTTAAAAGGTCAAGACTTTATGATATTTATTTGTATTTTTCAAAGATTATGTTTTTAGTAAAGACACTTACTTGTAAAGGTAATATTCAGCCTGATCCACTTCCTCTCGTGAAGAAATGTTGTCAACAAACTGGTTAAAAAATAAGAAATAAAAGCTTAAGAGGGAGCACTTATCTAGCATATTAGAAGAAAATGTCACTTGGATACACACAACAAATTTGTTCTGCATATTTAGGTATCTGACAATAATGGACATCTTCAAGTCTTCAGTTGCTCCTAATCAGGTTTCTTCTAGGCTGCAGAAAGTAAAATCTTTCTAAGTTCAGCCAACTCTCCCCAAGCTATAAGCAATGCTACGTATCGCACACGGGGACAATCAGAAAACCATGTCCCTACAGCACAGTACACATTATTTTGCTTGCTTTTTTTCCTGTTTTTTTTTTTTTTTTTTTTTTTTTTTTAAACACATCCCTTAAGCGTGCATTCAATTTCTAACTTTTTTTCCAATTTTCAGTGAGTCTTAACATTCGCTTGCTCTATTTCCAGAAAGCTTTCTTTTCCCCTTCGCCTGTTTTGCACATTCACACTATAAATTCTGAAGGACGATGGCATCTTCTGCTTTACCACAGATACGAATAATGGTAAGAAAAAAAAAAAATCAACTGCCAAGCTGCAAAGCACAACCTCCCTCCCACATAAAACCTCACAAAATTCCCAGTGCTATCAACTACAAAAGCAAAGTTTTTGATCAGACTTCCTCCTATGCTAACAGTGAATCTTCTTTTCTGGTATGCTCAACATGAGCATAAAGTTACACAATGTCTTTAGCTCAGAATAACAAGTAAGTAAGATCAGAGCTTCTTTTTAACCTAAGAATAAGCTAAAAATTACAGTTTAAGCCGACTGGTGCTTGTTTTTTAGTTTCTTAACTTTCATCATATATATATGTATATATAGATCATCTCTGAGCGTGGCAACAGCATGCCTGTGCACTTCATTTTAGAAAATCTGAATTTTATGTGAGATCCAGTTACTAGAAGGGGAGGCTGTTCGAAAATTTGAAAATGTTACTTAACCAGTGCAGAGGTCAGCCCAAGGCAGGAACAGGAGGAGGGTACAAAGTAAATCTGATTAAGCAGTAAAAAGGAGAAGAACATCCATTTCCTCTATGGATAGTTTCAGAGCCAATAATCAAGGACGTACAGTAACTGCACAAATTGTTCTGTGACTCTATGGATAATAGTGCTAACGAATTCTAATTAGCATTAGTGTACCAGTACACTGTTACCGCAGTGGTGATTCAGAATGTAGGCACACTGCATTTCCTTAGCAGCCTGGGTTCTTATGAAGTACCTTAGAGGATATTATAAGCTCTCACTAATAAGTACAGAAAACACAGGAAGGGAGGAAATGTGTATTATGAAAAACTGTAGCCCACTAACAAAGTCAAACCCAGCTTTACTGAGAAAAAGTTCTATTTCTGCTTTGAAGACTCAACAGTCCAGGTGCTAACTAATGAGCTCAAAGAAACAACAAAACAGTTTTATACAGCAATTGAACAGTATAACAAGACATTTATGATCCCACAGTTCACAGCAGAGGTGATATCATTTATATCCTCTGAGCTCCCTTGATTTCATAAGCATTCCACTGTCATTTCCATCATTGTCATTTCCATCACTTCATGATTGGAAATAATTTTCTTACCCGGGCTATTGTCAAAGAGCTGACAGGCAGCTTTCTTTCATAGGTTCTGTCCATTAAGTTGGCTAATTCAGCTGGAGAAAAAAGAAGAATAGTGTATTTAATCAACCAGTATTACAGAAAAACTTCAGAGAATAGAATAACTACAGAGTTATCGCGTAACTTGGAACAGCTGGGGCTGTTCAGCCTGGAGAACAGAAGGCTCCAAGGTGACCTGATAACAGCCCTTCAATGTTTCAAGGGGAGCTACAGGAAAGAAGGGGACACTCTTTAGTACCATCTGTTGTGACACAAGGGGAAATGCTTTCAAGCTTAAGGAGGTTGGAGATTTATGTTAGATATAAGGAAAAAGTCTTTTACAGTGAGGATGAGGAGACACTAAGAACAGGTTGCTGAGAGATGAAATTGATGTCCCATCCCTGGAGACTTTCAAGGCAAGGCTGGATAAGGCCTTGGGCAACCTGACTGAGCTGTGCACGTCCCTGTTCATTGCAGCAGAACTGGACTAGATGACCTTTAAAGATCCCTTCCAACTCTAAGGATTCCATGAAATTAACTGATTCCTTATTTCATTTTGAAGTTGTATAAAAATAATATTTTAAATTATTTTTAAATACTCCAACAGGAAATAATTTATGGAAAGGTTCTCAACCTTATAATGTCTTGGATGAGGTAACGAATATAAGTCATCTAAAAAGCCTAAGCAGATGTCCTGATAATTTATGTTTGCTTTCGAGCTTCACACATGCTGGACAGTGCCTCTGGTGTTCGTCCTTTCTTCTTTGGTAAAACAAAGAAACACAAAAGCAAGCCATACCATCCTCATATACCCTACAGCGACAAACAACAGGTCAGAAGAAATTCTGTTAATCAAACTGAGCCCTGTGCCAGTGCCTTATTAACTTAATAGCATTTTGCTTCAGCAGTCATCTAACAATATTAAATTGGCCATACAGGAATTTTAAGCTTTTGTCTGCGGAACAGGTAGATTAACACTGAACTTCATGAATTTAATCTATAGTTTGTTTTGTACTATTACCAGAAACTAATGACTCAGAGACTAAACTGTTCAGCATCAGCTGTTAGACGAGAACTGATGACATTCAATCTATAATATTTAGAGACTCCAACCATACTCTCTTCCTTCAGTTTTCCATGCACAGGAATCCAATATATTTATTATCTGTATCACTTTCACCTCTTTTTCTTCTTTGCGTTGCATGACACAAAGTTCCATTGGCTGCACTGCAAGAGCTGATGGCTTGGCTTGTTACAATTCATTTTCCATAAATGTCATCTGACCTCAACCCCTGAAGTAAGTGCCATTTCAGAAATGACCAAACCACTTATTCTGGCAATACTGGAAAGGACAGAAAGCAGCACTGTACCAGTAACCATAGAAAAAGTTAATTTAAATTGTTCTTGTACCACCAGTTAACACTGAGAGGTATACAGTTCTAATGCTACAAACTGTATGCAGTGCTACCCTAATCTTACAGCTACTCTCTAAAATTACAAGGCACATGCAAATACTTTTTGCTATAATAAACAAGAAATCTTGCTTGACCCTTCAGTTTGGATAATGCCGCTGTCTGCTGCATACCATTAATTTTGTATTTACGTAACACCTTCCCTCCTAAGACACTTGATAGTATTCTCAGGAACACCAAAACATCATCTTTGACAAGCAGCTTATCTCCAACTAAGAGAGTATTTCATCAACGTGAAATGAAAGGGAAATTGAGAGCAAAGGTGCCGAGGCAAGGAGCAGCTCTTGCAAAATACAATATGGGATGCTGAAATGACACAGGCCATCAAAACCATATAACACTACAAAGCCACTAAGCGAGCAGATCAACCTTTACATGGTAAAGCATTTTCTGTGGAAATATCCTTACAGAAAGTATCCATATTTCACTTTGCATTTCCTGTTTCTCCAGCACTCAAGAAGGAGCACACAGGTAAAGACTACAAGGGCATTTCTAGCAGTGATAAACATAGGAGAAGAGAAATGCTACCGCCACGTCAACTTGACAGGAAATGGCTAGGTTCTCACCTAAACATATCAAGCCAACTATCAGCCAACATTCATCATCTGTGTTTTCAGAAAAGTATTCAATCAGAAATCTCCTGCATTTGCAACAGGGATCCGACAGATGCACAGGTTGGGGCATAATTATCTACTCCAGAACAACTTCTGTTAAACACCTCACTGAAAACTGGAAGGTGATATCTAAAACCACTGTAGGCCATATTCAACTCCTGAGTCTAGCATTTCTTTTATCTAGGTGCTCACAAAGATGAAAAGTCCACCTCAGGAAACATCAAGTATATAAGGACAATGTAATTCCAATAAATAAGAAGCCTTAATTTCAAGACTGTTACATACACATCTACACTGGGAGAGTTCACATGCAGAATTTTAATGATTTTAAAACGTAAGGTCACAGAAGATGAGCTAACCTTAACTCCCTGAAGTGGTCCAGGACAGGTCAGAAACCCATAGATGAGACAGCATCTTAAAAGCTCATTCAACTGAGCACCAGGTTTTTGAGAAAGAAAAACATGAAGGAAGGCTGAAGTGAGTAAAGCTTATGTTTCACATTTCTCTGTTTATCCACATCCCTGGCAGCTTCTGGAAAGATCCACAGCCTTGTACCAAAGACTACTTCAATTGGAAACGACAGGAGTTTGCAAAGGAAGCGCTGCCACCTGGTGTTTCAGATAAGCCATTTCAGGTACCAGGAGATTTTTTTAAAACAAACAAAAAAGAACCATTATCGATCTCACTTGAATTTTGCCGACCTCTTAGGTTTGGATAATTGCAATCTTTCTCATCAGGATACCTGCTATTACTTAATTTTACCCTTGTTTAGCAACAAACCAACTGAAACACTATGCAATCAAAGTCCCGCCATGCCTCCTGTTCTGTTGCTATCTATTTTTCAGTATGTACAGCTCAAATTTCTTCTAAACCCCTATCTTCCTATCACCACACATTTGTAAATTTCAAAATAAGACATTTATAGTACTTACATTTTAAAAAATATATTCCGTGTACACAAAATACAATCTTTTTCTTTCCTGCATTTTTTTCTGTGCTGGAGTTGGCTGCTAATGCTTGGATTGCTAAACGGATACTACAAAGAAGTAAATCCGTAGTATATCTCTTATATAGATGCAGTAAGTGAGTTTGACATGGCAGCACACCACTGCATCAGAAACTGGCTTTATATGTATTTAAATAACACCTTCATCTTTAAATCAAAAATACCTGTTTTTTCCCCATCAGTACATTCTCATACCATAGTTCTGCAGAATAACAGAACTGAAACTATGGAATAAAAACAAAGCAGTATCTCCTCAACACAAAGAATTCACACCAGCTACAATCACCATTTACTACACAGAAGACTGTATGCACAACATGGAACTGAGAGCAACAGAGCCAACATCTCTAGTGTGCCTAGTCTTGGAAAACACTAACACAGCTGACACTGAATTAACAGAATGAAAATGCAAAGTAGTTCTACATAGTCCACATTGCAATTATCTGCTTTGGATCAAGATCTTTGGCAGAGCAGCAGCAAAAACTGTGCTTGTAAGGTCTTGCTAGGCCTGGAAATGGCCAAACATGGACTGTACAAGAAGTTATATGACGTTTTCCTCTACAATAGATTAGTATTGTCTATAAAGTTGGTCAAAATATTAATTCTATTCTATCTGCAAGTGACAGGTTCAAATGCAATGGGGGCGTCAATGTCTGCAAATACAGACTGAACACCACGTGTTGGTTGACTATAAAGATTTTCAAGGAACTACTAGATCCAAGCTATATTAATCAGCCCCTACCAGCTGTTCTGGTCCATGTACCATAAAACACTGACAAATCAGTTTGCCTCTTCACAGGCAAATAACAAATAGATTCCCGCGCTAAAAATACTATAATTTCATGGGTACTCCTGATTGAGAAAAGCCCTCAAATTTCACCTCCTGATTCCTCTTTCAGATTCATAATTTGAGATACAGTTAACAAATACAGTGTACTTCTCCCTCTTGTAAAATTATGAAGAAAATATTAATTAAATAAGCACTTTAGAAAGTTTTTAGAGCCCTTTAATACTTACTGAATGAGCCTCTTTCGCAATGCATTACAGCTAAAACAGTTGTAGTCAGAAACAGTTGTTATAGATTTCACACACAAAAACGTGACATTCATAAAAGTCTGGATTTTGTGGGGAAAAAAATAAAACAGCTTGTAGAAACTAAACATTGTGTAAATGGACAAGTCCTTTCTTTCAGAATTACAGCGTTGAATACGTAAGACATTCATAGTGTTAGGCAGATTTTCACACAGAATCACTGAAGCATTTTGGCCCTTTTTTTTTTTTTTTTTTTTGGATTTATAAGTGATGAGGTAATCTAAAATTATTTCAGGTGCAATTGTCAAAATGGTGGAAAAATAAAGAAACTTTTCTCACCCAGGTTATGCTCCTCTTTTTGTCTGTTTTCCCATTTTGAGCTGTCCACATATGCTGCAGAAAGAAGAGATCTTCTACCTTAAAAAAAAAAAATCACTGTGTAAGTCAGGTTGACTATCTAAGCGAGCATATAAACTTTCTATCAAGTACCTTTATCACATTCACTGACTCAAACGCATTAAACTGTACGATAGCTGCAGTAGCTATCTAAACAGCTTAACTTCCCTCTACCTGGAAATGCCATTACCTTGTTATTTTTCAAACTGAAGAGTTTCCCCCTAAAAGATTTTTCCAGCATACAACAGTCTGTTTTCCAAAACTGAACAGTGCATTTAAGAAAATGTTTTATAAGGTGGGAAATTATGAACAATGAAGGGCAACTTCTTTTGCTCATGGGCCTTTTCATCAGATGTCAGAGCTTAGCTAGATGTAGGCATAAGTGGCAAACATGCACAGAAAGGTTTCTCTGTTCTTGGCTGATGTTCTTCTCCACCCTTAAAGCTTTCTCACTGGAAATGAAAGCTGAACTTTCATCTGTGAAATATTACACATTTGATCAACTCTTTTGCTTGCAGCTCCTGTGATCCACAGGGTTCACAAACTTTTTTCCAGATACTTTTCATATCTGAAAGTTTCTGAAGACTGTCTTCCTTTCTGAAGCAAAATAAATGCTTCCACCGGAGGAACATGGGCCATGTTTGAGCATCACTGACAGATGATAAGGTCCTGAAGATGCACGATGGACAGAACTGGCTAAAGGAAGATAAAGAAATAACTCCAGACTTTTACAGGAAGGATGCCATAGAATTACCCAATGTTGTGACTCCTTCACACAGGTGGCTTTTTTTTTTTTTTTTTTTAAAGCAAAAAAAGCCCTTCAAAACCATCGGCCTGGACTACGCTTCTGCCCCCTCACTCGTCAGATTCTGCTCAGGCTCGGTGGACTGCCCTCCGCCCCGCACGGATATCCGCGTCCCATATAGGCAGACAGTTTGGGAGCCGCACATCCGAACGGAGAACTCATCTCTGTCCCTCGCGTTCTGCGAAAGCTGCCCCAGTCCCGGCGTCTTGCGAGTGCCTCCGCGCATAGCCCGTCCCTCACCATATCCCACAGCCCTCTCAGCCGTTGGCCCCCACGGAGGCCAGGCCCGGCCCTACAGAGCTCGGCCCCGCGCAGCACCGCGCACCACCGCGCACCACCGACCTGCCGCCGCACCGAGGACCTTCCCGCCCCGCAGCGCGCCTCGCACGAGCACGGCGGCAGCCATGGCAGCCAGGAAGGAGGCGGTGGGGAAGGGGCTGGCCCGCCAACGCTCCGCCTCTGCCAGGCCGGGGTACAAGATGGCGGCGGTGCTCTCCGGCGGGTCGCGGCGGGCGATGCGGGCGATGGTACGGCGCTCGGTGGTTCACCTGTCCGCCTCGGGCTGCCGCGGCTGCATGGCCGCAGGTAATTGTAGGCGGCGCGGGGCCGCGCCGGTCACCGGGAAGGGGGGGGCGGGAGAGGGTTGGAATACTACAATTCCCAGCATGCCTGGCGGGCGCTGCCCGCAGTCTGCACGTCGAGAGTTGTAGTCCCGTTACGCCTGGCGGTGGATTTAGCGGGGGGCTGAGTTGGATAGAGGTAGAGCTCCGCTGCTCAAAGCTCCCCGCACAGCACCTGTCCGCTCCCTGAGGTGCACGGGCTGTCTGTGAAGGCCTAACGGGGCTTCCCACGAGGCGGGGCAAATTAGGGTAACTCCTGCCTGTTTTACCCTCTGGTAATCCTCCGGTTAAATTTAAGAGATAGGTGTGCTGCTTTGTGGATTCTTATCAGCACATTGTTATCATCTCTCATGCAGAAAACAAACGTTGGTTGTATGGTTTGTTGCATCTTGCTGGGCAGATGTGAAGTTGATGTGTAACTTCCCTGGGTCAGTACTTCCTCCTACCCTCTTGATTAAGAGTTGTTTTTTTCACAAGCAGAAGACTTGGAGGGCTTAGAAGTTTGGGATAGATATTAGGAGGAAGTTTTTCACAGAGAAGGTGGTGACACACTGGAACAGGTTGCCCAGCAGGCTGTGGATGCCCTATCCCTCTAGGCATTCAAGGCCAGGCTGGATGTGGCTCTGGGCAGCCTGGTCTGGTGGTTGGCGACCCTGCACATGGCAGGTGGTTTGGAACTGGATGATAATCGTGGTCCTTTTCAACCCAGGCCATTCTATGATTCTATTGTGACAATGTGAACTGCTGCAAAGATTCTTTGTTACCAGATTGTTTGCTACAAATAGGAATCTGCTGCTGGAGAACTGGCTTTGTGACAGCAAGATCTTGACAAATGGCATTTGCATGACACCTTTCTTGGACTTGCAGAACCCTTTGTCTGAGATTGGCACCCAGAATTAGCTTTCTGATTCTGGACCTGTGCTTGTATTCCTCTGGTGTCTGCCTGTACCACGGCTTCACTGGGTCTCTTGAGCATTACTGCTTGGTAAATTATAATCTTTGCATGTTCCTTTTTTGTCTTCTCACAGAAACAGGGGCAGCCAGCATCAGGCATACTGCAGTGATGATGGCAGTTGTGCTGCCAGTGTGTTCTTAGCAGCAGAGAGACGACAAGGCAGATCCTTACAAAAGCAGGCAAGCAGGATTCTTGTGCAGAATCCACTTGTATCTTAGCTAGGCAAGAGGGGAACATCTCTAGCTTTTATTTTGCACATCCAATAAATACGTGCCTTTTTAACCTTGTTGATATTAATACTGGAAAGCTATGATGTAGTGGTTGGTTGGTTTTTTGTTTGTTTTCTCAGCAATGTGAGCAATTGCAATTCTTGCAGTCTTTTAGTGTTGTGCTGCCAATAATTTGGTATCATACAATAGTTAAAAGCTGTAAGTTATAATTGCAAAGTTCTGCATTATCAAAGCAGTTAGTAGAATGTAAAACTTAAACTTCTTTATTTTTCTTATGGCAGATAAACGGTATCTGCTAACAGAAGATAATATAAAGTTACAAGAATTTCAGCAGGCAAAAGAGGCAATTAGAAATGAATTCCATGGCAATAAAGGTATTTATATTTCCTTGATAAGAACCTTTGTAATTTTAATGTGAGTACTGGAAAGAAGATGGTGAAAGCCATTATATACAGAAAATTGACTACAATGAAAGGAATAGTTTTCATCTTCCTCTTGCAAGTTGTTTGCAGCTAAAATTTCAGATCTGAAGCTTTGAAGAATGGTGTGAGTTATGTCATCTTGAAAAATGTAGAGGAACATTAGAAAAGGACCTGAAATGTTTGTGCCCTTGCATTTCCATTTTTATCATGTAGTCTAATGTAAAGTACTCCTTAGTCTACAAATTGTGCTTCAAATACATCTTCAGCAGAGGAGGTTAACACAAAGCCTGATACCTACTTACCAGTCCAGAGCAGGCCTATGCCAGTAATTGATTTAATCTGGTCTGTAAAGTTATTGAGTTCATTCCCTTAGCTTTTTATGTTTGGTTTATGTCATATAACCTCTCAGTTTTACGCCTAGATTATGTCTCTAAACTCTGAATATGAAAAACGAGTTCAGGTTCCCTCAACTGATCAGAGAGGAAGGATGGTGGATTTTCCTTGATAGAGACTTTGTCATGCTAGTTTAAAGTGTGTGTAAGCTCTATACTTCAGAGAGGATAAATATAAACATAAATCCATCCTTAAAATCTAATGCACCTTTTTTACCATGTGTGTTTGGTGTAGGTGTTTGGTGATAACAAACTTTTGGCAGTTCTCCCAAATGATATAGTTAGTTTTTTTTTTTCAGTGCCAAGAAAAGGACAGATATCAAATTTAGTTCTACATAAACCAGTCATCTGAAATAGAGTTCAGCAAAATTGAAATAATTGTTTTTCTATACCAAGTAATAGCAGAGTTTGAATCAGGCATTGATAAGTCATAATGCCATTATTTTGCTGTGATAATGACATACTCATATTGGACATGTTTCATATTATACCTAAGCAGAAGCCACATATTTGGGTTTACAGGTAACAATTCACCTTTTTGTTGTTGTACAAGCAGTAGCTGAAGATAACTAATGAAAACAGAGTGCTAACTATGTATGTTCAAATGATTTCTATACTTGGTATTTAGGCTAGAAACTGAAATATGAAAAGAAGTAAATGAGGCTTGTAATTGATTTTGGATTAGAAGTGGGGAAAAAAAGCCTTAATAACTAATCTGTTACAAAAAATATGTGAGATCTATTTATTTATTTTAGTTATAATATTATAGTTATAGCAGTATAAGAGTTATACTGAAAAAACCAGGCTTTTTGCTGCATTGAGTCTCTGTTTCAAGTAGAAGATTGCAACATAAATAATGGAATTGTCTGTAGACTGCTTTTATAATGTGCTTCATTTTCAGATCCATATTTCAAAAATATTAAAGAAAAATTAAAGGAAAATAGAATTATTCTCAAAAATGAATTAAAAATTTTACTGCACTTATGTCAGACTTCATCTGATGTGGAGCTAGCCAAAAAAGTTATTTACAGGTACTTGTAACAATCCAGGTAACATTGTTTTCTCTTTTTATTTTACAGTCTTGTTATTAGATCATCTTAAGTTATGTCTGCAAGTGAGGGTTTGCCCTAATTCAGGGACAATTTGCACAGTTAGTCCATTAGGCTAAGACTGCATTTTCATTTACTTTGGATCTTCCAACCCTTCAGAGATTCTCAATCAAAGAAGAGTCAAGCTATGGGAATGAACTGGTTTCTGCTATATATAGAATGAAAAGTGAGCCACACAGAAACTTCACTTGTAAGCTGGGAGGTACTGGTGTGCTCAGAGGCATCTTCCAGCTAAGATGTTTCTGTTTATAAACCGGTCTGGAAACCAGTGGCAGGCCAGGAGGATTTGTGAATGAAAGCCTTCCCAGCAATTACATGCAGAAGTTTTGGGAAGGAAAAAAAAAAAAAAAAAAAAAAAGCAAAAAATATATTATTTTTTTTAATTAGTTTGGCTTAGAAAAGGTTGAAATGTTTTAGCAGGTATCACTGCTAAAATGGACCACTGCAACTTCCTGTGCAATTGCTCTGTGAATAGATAGCAAAGTAGCTGGCAGTTCTGGTGAAGAGGATGCATTCTATAACTTAATCGGATATGAATGTCTTCACTATAAATAGAATAATTTTCATATTGCTACTTCACTTTATTAGTTGAGTCAAAATTACATTTTTTTCCATAAAATATTTCCTCATTTATCTAAATGCCACTTACTGAAGATAGAAAAGCAATGTGTCTGTCACTGCACATGCAGATTGTGCTGCCTGTTTAAAGCTGTTTTCCCTTGGCAAATTCTATGTGTTGTGTGATTTACTCTTTTGAGTCTTTCTAATAGGTACCATGAACAGAGTGGAATCACAGACATGCATGGTTTTAAATTTGGGCCCCTCTTTATGAGGTTATGTTTTGAGCTAGACCTTGAAACACCTGCAGTAGAACTTATCAAAGATCAGGTAATTTCCTCTATGTGTTTCACTAATATCACTGTTACCTACTACTTCTGTGTGAGTAATTCGTGTGCTTTGCATGACCTCAGAAACTTGAAGTACACTGTATATCTGTTGCAACAGCAAAGATGTCTATCACTATCTATATCTATCTATCTATTAATCTAACAACACTGTTTATATAGCTTTTGTTTAAAAAAAAAAAAAAAAAAAAAACAGTTTGAAAGTTAAACAGTAATTAAAAGTAAATGTTAATTTGACTAACTTTTGTATCATTGCACTTCTTTGTAATGGCATCATTTCAATAAAGAATATTGATTCGAGGATAATTCCTCAAAAAAGCTCTGATGCATATTTTCCCGCATTCTCTATTTCATATATCCATCCTGTACAAAAAATTCTTGGAAGTGATCACTTCTGAATTTTTATTCAGTAGCAGTTTGCTTAAGTTCCTTAGATTGTTTACACCAGCAGATTTACCTTGTTAATCTGTACTTCAGACTCCCTCTGAAGTGCTGAAGAAACTTAAGGACTTGGTTTTGAACATCTCTGAAATGCTGTGTGAATTATTATGACAAAATATTGTTTGTACCCTATATCTAATATATGTAGATGATTCTGTGCAAGAATGTTCTATTTTCAAAACTGGGGGCTAGTGGTCAGTCAGCTATATGATAAGGAATCAAGGTAAGGGTATATGTACTGAAAATGGGAAAGGTATTGCTTGGCCTACTGTTCCTAGGTTAGGTATGTGTAAGTATATGAAGGTGTTATTTGGCTATAGATGAGATCAGTCACTAAGACGAGTCCTGT